CAGCCTTGGAGGCTGCTCCTCGGTACTCATCCCGTGCTCAGTCTTCCCAGCACAGCGACGATGACAGCGGAAGCACTGCGACGTGTTCTTCGACTCCGACTCCAATGGACCGAGTCGCCTACAGCGGCGACAACACTTTCGCCACGAAGCGCGCTAGGAGTTCGTTCGAGGACCGCGGCAGCTCAGAGCCGGACGAACGCTACCCGGAGAGCTTCTACGAGGGACGACAGCCGCTTATGTCGGACGCGCAGTTCCGGCAAGCGGTCACGGAAGTGTACCGCGACTTCTTCGACAACTACACGGCGCACATGTACTCCAACGTGGCCGGCCCGGACGCCAGGGAATATGTTCTGTGTACGCTCAAGGACAGCCTCTGCGATTCCATGTGGCGACTCCTGAACTTCCGCGGCAAGGGGTTCACGAGCGTGTTCGGCGTCATCTCGGAGAAGCGACGAGGCACGCCACTTCCTTATCGTCGACCGCACTAGGCGCTTGGCCTCGTCGAAGGGGATATCGAGGATGATCGACCTGCATTCGCTCAGCTGATGCACGACGAAAATCGAATTGCTTGAACTCCTTGAGACTGGTGCTGAGGCTGAAAGACATATTGAGTTCCGACTTGCACGTTCTCAACACGGCAGCGATCTTCTCTGAATCGACCAGGCTCGTATCTGGCTCACAGCAACTCGCTCTCGATTTGACATGCCCTTGCAGTGCGGATCTGAAGAACGAAGACTACTCTTGCGGAAACCGTGGGCCGTTCCTCAGCAGGAGGGTTTAGGTGTCACTCGCGCAACTTGGGCGACGGTGGATTTTGTTCGAAATTGTTAGGTCTTTCGACATCCGCAATTTCGAGCTTCTCCACACGGAAGGTGCGGGTCCAAAACTTTTTGGGGCCGCACCCGCATATCCTCTCGCAGGAAGAAGATCGGTTGAGCTTGATCCGCTACCTCAACCTCTCACATCCGCACATCCTCTTCCGTTCTCCTCGACGACCGATCAGCACGTTGGACGGCATTATGGTACGAAGCTTTCCGAACATCGTCATCACGGGCACGCCCGGAACGGGCAAGTCGACGCACAGCTCTCTGCTCGCCTCCACCTACTCGCCCTCTGGCTCGTCATCGCATCCGCTACGCCAGATCGACGTCGGAGCGGTGGTCAAGGCCGAGGGCTTCTACACGGAATTTTTGGAAGAGTGGCAGAGCTACGAGGTGAACGAAGATCAACTTTTGGATCATCTTGAACCGCTTACCGGGACGATAGCGCCCGAGCCCACGGAATCGGAAGACTACGACGAGATGGAAACCAACCAGGCCAAGCAGCAGAGCGAAGAGGATGAAGAGAGAGGCGGGCTGGTGCTGGACTGGCATACGTGTGATGTGTGGCCCGAGAGATGGGTTGATCTCGTTGTGGTGCTGCGCTGCGACCATACGGTGCTCTGGGACCGACTCGAAAAGAGGTAAGTAAGCCATGCAAGCAGCTTCGAAGGATCGCCAGACTAACATACTCGCATCGGTCATGACACACGCACAGGGGCTATCCGCTCAACAAGATCCAGGAGAACAATCAGGCCGAAATCATGGGTGTGGTCGCCGACGATGCTCGCAACTCGTACCCGGCCGAAGCTGTCGTCGAGCTCACAAGCCAGGAGTCGGGCGATGTAGAGGAAAACGTAGACCGGATCATTGCATGGATCAATGCCTGGAGACAGGCGCGTGGGCTCGAGTGATCCATCCGAGCTCGCTCAACTGCTCTCTTTGCCCGCAATGCCACCCTTTTTAGACACGCTGATCCTTCTGTGCTTTGAACAGCTGCACACGACCGAGACACATGAACACATCAAAGCAGATGGGATTGGCGCACACTCGGACCTGTGAAAGTGACGCGAGGCGAGCGCGGGGCGTTGGACGAGGTTACTCGGCGATGTTCTGCGCCTGGAGACGCGACTCGAGGTTCCTGAGGCTCTCCTCCTTTGCGAGGAGTTCCTGGCGCTTTTCCTGGATCTCGCGCTGTACACGCAGCTCGATCTCCTTGAGCTTGTCCTCCTCGCGCTTGAGCTGCTCCTCCTTGAGCCTGACGGACTGGTTAGCAAGCTCCTCGCCGGGGATGGAGGTGTCGGCGTAGTCGGAGTGGACGGTTCTGGAGAGCTTCTCGGTTCGGTAGTTTTCGTAGAGGAAGTCGTGCGTGATCTCCTTGAGGTCGTTGAGATGTGTGATGAGCAGCGCGGATCGAAGACGGGCAAAGTCCGAGTGCTTGGGGTTGTCGACCTCGACGAGGCCCCATGGGTATTTGCGCGCGCGCACGGGCTCGCCGTTCACCAAGACGTCCTCCTCGGAGCCGACGATGGCAAAGGGCATGAGGCCGCGCAGCTCCGAGTTGTCTGCGATGGTCTCCTCGTCGTCCTCCTCGACGTCGTAGGGGAAGTTGTAGACGGGGATGCCGTAGTGCTCGATGTCCTCCATGATGCGCTTCTTGAAGTCTTGCCTCTCGGTGAGCGTCATGGAGTCTGCCTTGCCGATGACGGGGATGACGTTGACGCGCGGCGAGAGCCTGCGCATGAGCTCAATGTCGATCTCGCGCAACGAGTGACCGGTGGGCGTGATGAAGTAGAGGAGGGCGTGCACACGGTTGTCGCGGAAGCGCGGGTTACGCTTGATTCGCGACTCCTCGGCGAGAATGTCGTCGTACTGTCGCTCGAGGAAGCCGACGATTTCGGAGAAGCTGTGGGAAGGCAGGGAGCCAAAAGCGAGACGAAGCAGAAATGTCAGTGGTTGGGCTGAGGAGCAAGGTTGCGGCAGAAAGAGGCAAGCGCACTCACGCATATTCGTTGTCAATGTTGTCGCCGAAGCCCGGAGTGTCTACGATGGTGAGGCCGATGCGGGTGCCGTCCTCTTCGAGTTCGACGTTGACGGGCTTGATGCGGATGCCCTCCTCGATGTGGGCGGTTTCGGGGTTGTCGCTGACCTTGTGACCAATGGCCTCGGAGTCGCAGAGGGTGTTTACGAAGGTGGTCTTGCCCGTGCCGGACGCGCCGACGACCATGAGGCAGAAGGAGACACCCTTCTTGGCAGCGCGACGGCGCGAGGCCATGCTGGCGTTGATGACGGACGAAATGGTGGGCAAAGGTTGTGTACGCGCTAGGCGGTGTGTTGGTGGGGTCTCGCTCCAGGCGGTAGTTCAAAGAGCACTCGAGCGATGGAAAGAGGAGATTGGAGTCGTAAGTTGGCGCTGGAAGGGTCGTTGATGGATGATGGTGGAATGCGCGGGCGTCGGTGGTCGAAAGTGTTGAGCGAGTGCTTCTCAGCGGGCCTTGGCCAGGCATGTCTGAGTGTTGCGCACGAGCACCCTCTTTCGAGCGACCCCAGCAGCAGCAGCAGCAGCAGCTTGCCAGCGCTCGACCCGACTCGAACTCGACTCGACGCACTCACGCACGCACGTCCGCACGCATGCACCTCTGCCTTTCCCTACTTCGCTTGTGCGCCGATTTCAATTCGGACGCGCAGAGTCGACTTTCGCCTGCTACTCGTGCGGATGTGTGCATTTGAATCGACTTTTCAACCACGACTAGCGCCTTCGCGTTCTTCTTGCGAGCACACTCCGCTCGCGACGTGGCGAGGAGCGACGAGAGTCTAACATACTAACTCATTTGCCAGCCTCAGCCTCGAGCGTCAACCAACCTCACCCGCTCCCGCATCCACGTTCCGCACAGCAAGCTCATGGGATTGGCAGCTTCGAACGAGATTGCTGCATTGCGGGTGGACATGTGCTCATGCGGCTAGACTGCTCGCCTCGTCCGGCCGCAACTCGACGGTCCAGTACACCGGCTCGTCGGTCTCGACCTGCACCACACCCTGCTCGTCATGCACATGATTGGACGTGGATAAGAACCCGCCCAGAGTCGTCAAGTCACCCTGCAGATCCCACTCGAGCCCCTTTGTCGTCACTTTAGCGCCCGAATTGCCAACTCCCAAAGGCAGCACACCGCACGTCTTGCCCATCACCTCGCGCGCCATCCTAAGCGTATGCTTGCCTGTGGGTAGCAGCCAAGCCACACTTCCGTCCCCAATTGCAAACGTTCGCCGTCTCTTGCGCAGCCGGTTGCCGCGATCGTTGGGTTGAGAGGGATCAATGACGCTGCCCAGATCAGCAGCACCGGGTGCAAGCTGCCACAACACATGTAGCGTATGCACGCTCTGATCCAGCCGCCCCGCCAGCCCGCCGTAGATGATCAGCGTGTGTTCGTCGCCAGAGTCTTCGTGATCTTCAACTTCCTGGATCGTCTTCTGTAGGTCGGTGGCGTACTGCGACGGACGCTTGTGTACCGCTACGCCTTTCGATTCGAAGAATTGTTGCGTCGAGGGCAGGATCGAGTCCAAGTCGCCCAGGATCGCATGCGGTAGTGGCAAATCGGCGTCGAAGGCCGAAGATCCAAACGCGTCCAACAGTCGGTTGGCTGCACCGTCGGCACAGAGGCGTAGCGAGGCAGATGCCCACAGTCGTCGAAAGTGGCCCATCTGGCGCGCGTCGATGGGCGAGTTGAGCAACACCAGCGCGTACCTAGGCACCGGCGTGCTGGCAGACGAAAGCAGAAACGGAGACGGATCCCACACGTTTTCGGCGTCGACCACCTCGGGATGCTTGCGCTTCAGGCCGTTGCCAACCGCATCGCCCTGGGGCTGTTCCCACGGTCTGGCGAATACGTGACCGGGCTCTTGCTGGGAAGCACCCATCTCGTCGCGCGGAGGGACTTCAAAGTGAAAGCCGTCAAACGCGGAAAACACCTCGAGCTGCTGCGCACCGGTCTTGATGCTCTGCTGCCACGCCTGGAAAGCCTGCAGCTCGAACTGCTTCATGATGCGTGCGCGGCGTTCCGGGTCGCCCAGCTGCTTGCCGTCCTCCTCCACAGGCTGCGCCGCTGATTCGGCACTGGTGCCAGCAGTGTCGAGAAGATAGTGCGGCGGGCTGGGGAACTTTGTGGAGAAATGGTTGAGGACGAGGCGTCGCGCATTGACGAGCGCAGCGAATTGGCCGGCGACCTGGGGCACAGAGTGGCCGCGCAGCTTTGCCTTGGCCGCAATGTCATCGAGAGAATCGGGCTTGCCGTTCCGGTTGAGGTGGGCAGGCAGCGCGATGTTGGTGCTCTCGTGCACGAGCACGTCGGAGCCATGTGCAAGCGCGGGTAGTCCGCAGCCTGCGTGTAGCTGGTCGGGGGTGAATCCACCTGTGCCATCGCTGGTGTCGCCCATGACGGTGACTTTTCGGCCCGGAAACGTAAGTGGAGGAGGATCGAGCACGGTGCCGTCGGGGAGGTGGACGGATCGTCGCTGCGTTGTGAGGGTGGAGAGGAGCGAGAGTGGATGGCGAATGCCGCGCTGTTCGTGCAGAGCGGGGCCGTTGCGTTTGAGGGCTTCGGCGATGCTTGGGTCGAGAGGCCCTGCTCTGGCGTCTTCTTCGAACACGTAGGCGAGCGTGGGGCAGCGGTGCGAGATGGGCGCGGCGCTGATCCGAACGCCCGGAGACTGGGGTGAGGGCTTGATGGAGAGGAAGTTGGGCCAGCTTGATGATCTCGCATCCATGTGCAGGTCGCGGCCTCCGCTCGCCTCGCCTTCGTGCTGCGGCATGTCGGGGATGCTGCGCTCGGGCTGGTTGTGCAACGCAAATGCCGCGCCTTGGGCGAGCTCGCTCGACGATGGCCAGACGAATTCGTGCACGACGTACTTGCCGCTGAGCTGCGCATAGCAGAGCGATAATGTCGTGCGTACCAACGCACGCAGGCCTGGCGGACCATAAATCTCGACGCGTGGCGAAGCATCCGGAGCAACAGGCACGCCAGTTGGACCCATGATGGACATGAGCATGGGCACGAGGCCGAGCACATGGTCGGCGTGCAAATGGGTGATGAGGATGGTCTTGAGGTTGGCCAAGCGCTCTTCGCCGCCGATGTAGCGCGAGCGGAGCTGACGCTGGGTGCCATCGCCGCAGTCGACCATGAGGGTGTGGTTGTCGAGCTTGAAGAGGAGCGACGAGTAGTTGCGCGTCGAGTTGGGCATGGACGATGTGCCCAAGAACTTGAGCGACATGCGTGGAGCGACCATGGTGCCTAGTGCCCGACGTCGCAAGCAAGGCCTAGTGCTTCAGTGGGGGAATGTGCGAGGGTATCGTGCGGTGACGAAGATGTGTTGCAGAGCGTGGAAGGCAGGTTTCAAATGTCAGTCCGAGCTGTGCAGAAGGCAGGGTCCTCCTTTCTCAAAAATCCCTCGCTGTGGAAAAATCGGACTGGAAATCGTGGCTAAAAAAAGGGAGGAGGCTTGGGAGCTCGCATTTTGAGAGTTGAGCATGGAGGCATTACGGGTGCGAGAGGCGCGCCCGAGGTATTGTCACATTCGGCAAGACGGTAAAAGGGTAACGGTACAAATACAGGCGGCGTGGTATCGAGTCGAAGCGGCATGGCTGCGGGAAGAGAAGCATGGGCGGAGAGGGAAGGGTCAACGGCCTCCGCCTCGTGCCTTGTCGCGTGCTTCGAGACGCTGCTTTTCGACCTGGGCCCGCAGCGCCGCGCGCATCTTCTTGACAAAGGTGTAGAACTTGCGCGTCGAGTTGAGTTCGTGCAGCAGCGATTCTTGCAAGGTCGAATCGAGGCGGGGCTGCACCGAGGTGAGTTTGTACTTTGTGCTGCTGACGTCGATGGTAAAGTGGCACTGCTGCGACCAGTCGTCTGCGTTCATGAGGTTGAAGGTGAACTTGAGCTGGTCGCCCACCTTTGTCGGAACGACGGAGCATCCCGTCTTGGACTCGAGGAGACGCAGCTCGGGCGCATTCTTGTCGCTCTGCTCCTTGAGTTTCTCGCGTTGCGACTCTTTGGCGAGCTTCTTCTTTTCGAGGTTCTGCTTGAGTTCTGCGATCTCGGCGTGGAGCTCGTTGCATCGCTGCGTGACGGATGCCTTTTGGGACTGGAGCGTCTGCTGCCTCGATCGAAGGTCTGCGTCCTGGTCTCGTTCGCGCGCGATGGTATCCCACAGCTCGCCCTGGGACGTCTTGGCGTCTTCGATCTCGCGCTCGAGCGTGCGCAGCTGGTTGCGATGCTCCATGCGGTTTGCGTCGAATTCGGCCTTGTCGTCGTTGATGTTGGAGATGGCATTCTCGGTGTAGGCGCGGAAGCGTGTGGAGAAGGTCTTGACCGCCGACACGATGCTGGCAAAGTCGAAGACGGCGTTGTTGTCCAGGTCGGCGTACACCTTGCGCATCTCGGCGTTGGACGGTGCGACCGAGCCGAATGGCCTGCGTGGCGTGGCGAGAACGGATGGACGTGGGGCTGCGGCCATCTTTGCGTCGTTGAGGAGTGTGGAGATGGTGGAGGATGGCGTCCAAGTTGCCGATTGCATGCGCACCCAAAAAGTGTTGATTCCAAACGCGTCTCGCGCGCCTTTGCTGTGACCGAGTGGGGCGCTGCCTGCGAAAATCCAAGACGTCGCCTCGGCACGTGACCGCGTCGCTCCAGCCTCCGAAAAGTAACACACAGCCGCCGACCTCGACCCCGGCTCTCCCGCACCTCTGACCGTGTGATTTGGCCTCGGAGAGCGCCCGCTGGGCGGCTGTATGGTCACTCGGACTCGTTCCGCCAGCCACCTCAGCAAATCATCACATGCGGACAAATGCCCAAAACTCACTGTCCCGCGGCTGTGCGGCGTCCGACTGAACCGAGTGGGTCCGAGTGGGAGCAGCTGGTTTCGCCCTCATGTGTTGTCCAGAGCGTGTGTAGAGCGAACGGCGCTTAAATCAACATCTCGTCCGTAAGTCGGCACTCCACTTTGCGCTTTGCGCAGAGTTGGTGTGTTGGTTTTGCGACATGTAATTTTGCGGGCATGGCTTGCCTCCTGCCTCGGCATGCATCGTTGATCATTGAGCCGACGTGCTTGCATACTCTCGTCGACCGTCCCCACTCGCCACACCGCCGCTTCGAACGCTCGCTCCCCGTCTGGCTTTGACCCTCATTGACCCTCTCTCTCTCTCTCTCTATCCATCACCATCACCATCATTCGCGCTCTGCCACTGCCATCCCGCAATCCTACGTCAGCCAGCCATGGCGCCCGCACAAACCGCCGTCGTCGCGACCACCTCGGTGCCTTCGCCCCTCGCCACCTCCAAGAAGGAAAACACCTCCTCCCAGCCATCACTCATCAACGACCACATCAAACCGCCAAAACACACCGAACTCTCGCGCATCAACGAGAACAACTCCGACTCCCAGCCCGACCCCAAGGGCAGCTGGAGGAGCTGGAGGCGAGGCGACGGCCTCCAGCCATGGGAGACCGAGATCGTACGCTCCACCGAGGTACAGCGCAAGGCAAACGTAGCGCAGCTCTACTTTCTCAACTACTACTTTGACAACCTCCGCTACCTCGCCGACCGCAAGGCTCGCCTGACGCGCTTCCACGATTCCACACGCGCCCGCGGCCTGCTGCCCGACCACGACGATGCAGAAGCATCGCCCGAATTCATCAAGGAGCGCTCCTCCTACTTTGGTCGCGAGCGCGTCCTCCTGCGCAAGAGGCGAACCAAGCTGCGCGTCAACCAGTTCCACATCATCACCCAGGTCGGCGCAGGTGGCTACGGCGAGGTGTTTTTGGCTCGCAAGCGCGACACCGGCGAGATCTGCGCGCTCAAGCGTCTAAAGAAGCGCATCCTCGTAAAGATGGACGAGGTGCGCCACGTGCTCACCGAACGCGACATCCTCACCGCCACAAAGACCCCTTGGCTCGTCCGTCTGCTCTACGCCTTCCAGGACCCAGACCACGTCTTCCTCGCCATGGAGTACGTGCCCGGCGGCGACTTCCGCACGCTCCTCTGCAACAACGGCGCGCTCAAGGAGGAGTACGCTCGCTTCTACATGGCAGAGATGATCGTCTCGGTCAACGAACTCCACCGCCTCGGCTACATCCACCGCGACCTCAAGCCCGAAAACTTCCTCGTCGACTCCACCGGACACGTCAAGCTCACCGACTTTGGCCTCGCCTCGGGCGCGCTCCACCCGGGCAAGATCGAGTCGATGAAGGCCAAGCTCGACGCGGTCAAGGACTCCGACTTTGTCTACCGCACGCCCGCCGAGCGCGGCTCCATGTACAAAAAGATGATCCAGCACACCCAGCACCGCGCCAACTCGATCGTGGGCAGCCCGGACTACATTGCGCCCGAGATGCTCCGCGGACGCCAGTACAGCTTTGGCGTCGACTACTGGAGCCTCGGCTGCATCCTCTACGAGTTCCTCTGCGGCTTCCCGCCCTTCAGCGGCAGCAATCCGGACGAGACCTTCGCCAACCTCAAAAACTGGCAAAAGGTGCTCCAGCGTCCCGTCTACGACACGCCCGAAAACATGCAGTTCAACCTCAGCGACGTCGCCTGGGACGCCATCACCAAGCTCGTCGACACGCCCGAGCGCCGCTACAGCAGCCTCGAGCCCGTCCAGGCCCATCCTTTCTTCCGCAGCCTCGACCTCGGCCGTCTGCGCGAACTCAAGGCTCCCTTCATCCCCGAACTCGAGAACGAGGAAGACACCGGCTACTTTGACAACTTCGAAGATCCCGCCGACATGGCCCGTTACAAGGACGTCCACGAGAAGCAGAAGAACGTCGAAGCCGTGCGCGAAACCGGCTCGGGCGCCGGTGGACGCGGCATGTGGGCCGGCTTCACGTTTGGAAAGAACGGCGTCGGTGCCAACGGTCAGCCGCTCTACGCCTCGTCCACAGTCAAGGACGCCACCGACGCATTCGCCACCATGTTCTAGACTGCCTTCTTCTTCTCACGACCTCTCATGCCCTTACGCACTCTTAACGCTGCCTCTCAGTTCTTGCTATACCCATCCAGCGGAAAATGCCTCTGCGCGCTGTGTGCCTCGCACCAGCACAGACTCATTCCACATTCGTCTCTTGCTATGCTCCAATGTGATCCTTTTCATTCACCACGTTGCCGAATCGAGTGCGCTGAAGCTTGAACGCTTCCTAGGAACCATGACAAGCGCGCGTCGATCCGACAAGGTTTGGGAGGGCGGGCGGAGTTGGGCCTCCACAAAAAGACTGAGGCTTGAAGGCCAGCCAAATTCACGCTCGCCTTGGACCCTGAGCCCGACCGACCCTCTCTGTTGGGTGAAGAAGCGGCGGCGCGTCTCGGAGCTTCGCGTTGCATCCAGCCTTCCTTCCTTCACCCTCCCTCTCATCCTTCGTCACTCTGCGATCGTCACACGAGCACCGCCTCAGCGCATCCCCCTCTTTCCGCCCCGACATCAATCTATAGCCTGCACAGGCACATCACATCGACCACACCACAACCGCAGTCTACACACACTCTCTCTCTCTCTCTCTCTCCGCCATTCACGCAAGCCTGCGCCCTCTCGATTCGCACTGGCCACCTCGTATATCCGCCAGAATCCACGCATCCACACATGTTGGCTCTCACAGGCACTCTTCTGCTATAGTGCCCTGCTGAGCCAACAAAGGCGCCATGCCTTTGCGGCAATACGCCAAACCCCAGACTCCTAGACGCTCGCCCAAGCAACAAGACATTGACGCCTCCCAGACTCCTAGACGCTCGCCCAAGCAACAAGACATTGACGCCTCCCATCGATCCAATCATGCGGATCGTCGCTCTGCCACCCATCGCGCTTCGGCGCATTCACAAACCAGCGCACGTGCAAAGCTCGGCGATCTCGTCGCCTCGTCCACCCACGAGCACATGCTCAAGGCCGCTCGCCGCGTCATTGATCTGGTAGACACCAGCGATTCCGACGCCGAGCCCAAGCCCGCCGTCACGACACCGCCGCTGCCCATCGCCGCTGCCCAGTATGACGACGGTATTGTCACGCCAGAGCTACCCCCAGCACGGCCACATTCATCTCCAACCACCTTGCAGCTATCGTCAGCGCGACTCTCTTCAATCGAGCTCGTCGCAGAGATCAAGACCGAGGACGATTACGACAACGTGAGCGTCCTGAGCCTTCCAGAATCGCCTGCACAGGAACCACCAGATCCTCTGGCCAACCAGCGCCCGCTCTTTGATCCAGAAGAGCTCCGCGTCCAGTACGACGAGCTCACAGCGCTGCTCGAGACAGAGCAACACTCGGGCACAGAAGACGACGACGAGGACTACGAACTGCGTCGTCAACGCAAGCTTCGCGCCAACGAGGCTCTTCTCGCTCAACTCGGCCTGTCAGCAGGCGTCAGCGCGAGCAAGATCGAAGACGTATCCATCGATGACACCCAGCATTCCGATGCGCACGACGGCAGCAACAACGATATGAAGGCGGATGAACCCCCTTCTCGCAAACGTGGTCGTCCCAAAATGCGCGCGCGCACAGAAGATCGGCCCGACGACCATCAGCTTGAGGCTGCTCCCAGCAAAAGAAAGAAATATGACCGCAAGGTCAAGTTCGCCGATGACGGAACCACCAAATCAGCGCCTCTTGCGGGCGAATCTTTTGTGCTTGCCTACATCGACACGCCCCCGCTCAGAGACCGAGCTCGAACCGAGTTCGTCTTCATCAGAGACGTACCCGACATCCGCCCGGAAGACCTCGACCGCTGGAGCGAAGCGGACGAAGACGAGCAAGCAGGCGAGGACGAGCATGTGCAGCTCGTGTCCGATCCACTGGGCGGCGCCGCGCACGGCGACGCTTCAGGTTTGGGCAGGAAGAAACGGGCGCCGCAGCCGGACGTCCTGCCCGACGGCACCGAGCTGTCGACGTGCCATCAGTGCCGGCGCAAGACGGCGGACGCCAAGATGCGATGTCATCGCATGCGCAACGGCGCGCAGTGCCCGCTCAACTTCTGTCGCCGATGTCTCACTGTGCGCTACAACCACGAATTCGACCCAGCCGACACGTCTTTCCGCTGTCCCAAGTGCCAGGGCTACTGCAACTGCTCGATCTGCTTGCGTCGTTCCGGCTTTGGCAGTCTTCTGGACAAAGGCAAAGACACGGTGCTCGCTTTTAGCAAGGAACTCAGGAAGCTCGCCAGCGAGACGGACCTCGAAAGCGTCCAGGGACGCATCGGGGCTCTTCTCGCCGAGGAACGTGCGGCTCTGGTGACCCCCGTGTCTGCGCGCAAGAAAAAGGTCAAGAAAGAGGCTTCGGATGTCGACCCGCTTGCGACCAAGTCGCCCAGACCGCGTGGTCGGCCGAGGAAGAGCCGTACCCTCGATCCCGAGGAGAACAAGGTCTTGCTCGAGCTGTCTAGCGAGGTGGAACCGGGCGAATTGTTGAGCCCGCTCGAGATCCACGCCTTAGGCGTGCTGGCGTTGGCTCGCCATGTACTCAAGCTTGTCGCGGCGCAACGAGCCGCGCGGCCGCGCTCGAGGCTGGTGGTGAAGCTGACCCGGACGAAACCAAAGGTTGCGGAGCCACTGGAAGCGCAGCCGCAGCTGGCGAAGCCGAAGCGGGTGTCCAACTCCCACGACATTGAGAAGGACGTGTGGGTGCGCAGCGAAGCCGACTTCAGCCACTCGGAGTCCGAAGACGAGCTGGGCGACGACGAGGAGGAAAAGGGAGCGACCGAGCCCGCGTTCGAAGAGGGCCGCATCCAAGCCTTTGCGTCGTCGCTCGTGGAAAAGCCAATGACAAGTTCGGTGGCGAGCAGCCAGAGCTCACTCACAAGTCTGGAGGGTCTGCGCAGTGCTTCGTCGGTGGCGTCGTCGCAGTCGGACGACGAGGGAATATCGTCGTCCCAGTCGGATGCGGGCACAGCGACTAGGTTCACGGCATTCTCGCAGACGGTGTCAGAGACGGAGCCGTCGGAGCCGCACGATATGCAGCAGTTCGCGCTGGCGGTGCTGGACGATACGCGGTCGCCGGACAAGACGCTGCAGGAAGAAGCGGTGCCATCACTCATCGTAAACGAGGCGCTGGGCGAGCTGGACGACTTGCTCGAGCCCGAGCCGTCGCTGGCATCGGCGCCACTTCTAGCCGACCCGGTCTTTGACGTGACACCGATCTTGCTCGCTCCGAGCACTGGATGTTACGACCCGCCGGAGATGCATGCCATGGACCAAGCATGACAGGCGTCCAAGCTGTGCACGTGTTGCACGTACGGACGCTACGTCCGTTGTACACTAGCCAAGTTCATATCAGCGGGGCAAATTTATTTTTGACTTGATTGGATTTCTCTTTTGCTCGGGTGACAAGGAAGAGATGGGCAGCTGAAGCAATTTGGCGGTGGTGCAGGGCGCGCGCGCGTGTGCAGTGCAGTGCGGATGCTTACTTGAAGCCGAGGAACGACTTGAGGGGTTCCCAGCCGAGGTTGAGCTGTGATGATGCGACGAAACAGAAACGAGATGTGAGTTTGAAGTGGCTACGGGATGGCGGGATTTCGCGTGGAATGGCGGACTTACGTTGTAGACACCGGCGCCGATGGTGACAGCGAGAGTAACGATAGTGCCGATGGGGCGACCGATGGCAGCCGAGTTCTCAGCCTGGATGCCGATGTTGGCGTGAGCTACGCGGGCGGCAAAGAGGGTGGTGTAGGCGGCGTGAACGAGCGAGGTGGGGGCGCCGTTGAGCTCGGCGAGGAAGATGAGGAAGAAGGCAAAGGGAGCGGACTCGGAGAAGTTGGCGTGGGCACGAACGGCGCGCTGGAGCTTGGCGACATCGGCGGGGTGGTTGGTCTTCTTCGGGCCGGGGCCGTAGACCTTGTCCGAGTCGGTGGATCCGAGGTAGATGTTGGTGTTGAGTCGGTTGACGACGACGTTGGCCGAGAGGTACGAGTAGTAGCCGGCGAAGAGCGCAGAGTGCGCGAGCGAGGCCTGACCATCCAAAACGACAAGGGAAACAGAGGATGCTGATGGTTAGCGCGGATGGATAGCTTGGCTGGGAGGGATTCGGACTTACGGGGCTCAAGACGAAGAGAGGCATGGTTGCGATTTGTGCAGAGAGGGCAAAGGGGGGGGGATTACGAAGATTCCAGGGGTGGGAGACGGATGGTGGTGTAGGGAAAGATGGTGTGAAGCGACAACGAGGCTGATTCAACAGCATTCCTGCGACGTTTCTCGGCGAGAGCATCGCGCGAATCGACGGGGCTCAAGCTCGGCTCAGGACAGACAGAGAGGGCTATGATGCCATCCGCTGCTGTCTGCGCTCCAAAATGGCAGCAAGAGAGAGTGGAGGTGGAAAAATGCACGTGCCAGCTTGGTTCGACCCGCACGATAGATCGGGCTAGTCGAATCGCCAGAGCGCTAGGCTGGCAAATCTGAATTTCCAGCGATTTCAGGAGGCGGCCGTGTAGAAGCACTGTGAACGCGGCTGCAACGACACAGCAGCGACACGGCTTGGCGTTGCCGGCGTGCGAGAGCAGCCGACTGCATGACACTTCGGCAGAGGCAGCAGGCAGCAGGCAGCAGGCAGCAGGCAGCAGTCGGTTCACACATGCAAAGGCTGTGCGTGGCGCGGCGCGGCGCTGTGCTTTAACTCAACTCAACTCAACCCACGCGCACGACCTCTGCAATTGTCACACCGCCGAATGGCGCTCAACGTCGTCGCCTGCTCTCTTCCACCATCCCCCGATCTCATCCTGGCCTACAGTCACAAACACACACACACGCACGCACAATGTCTGCCCAGAACGACAGCCGCTACGACCCCTACATCCCTTCGGGCAATGCCAGCTCCGACCCCTCGGGCGGCGGCGCCAACTTCTCCAACTCCAAGACGGCGCGCATCCACTCGGAGATCGACAACACCATCTCGATCATGCGCGACAACATCAACAAGGGTGAGTCCCTTTCCTCCAACAGACCGAGACTACGATGCCATCGCGGCGCATCTTGCTGACGACCGATTCTTCCTGCATCCCAACCCGCACGCACGCACAGTCAACGAACGTGGCGAGAACCTCAACAGCCTCCAGGACAAGACCGGTACGTCTCTGACGAGCCTGAGCCTGAGCCGCACGCAACTCACGACTGCTGACCTCTTGACCTCCCATCCACTCTCCCACCCGATTCAGATAACCTCGCCGTCTCGGCACAGGGCTTCCGACGAGGCGCCAACCGCGTCCGCAAGCAGATGTGGTGGAAAGACATGAAGATGCGAAGTGAGTCTTCATTCGTGCACGCACAAGTGCAACACTTGCTCACCATTGCCGTCCTGTCCTGTTTCCTGTCAATGTTCTTGCTTTCGCGCCTCGCAGTCATCATTGGTAGTAAGTACCGACGGCTCGAAGGCGGCCAACTCGCCCTGGACGCACGCAGCTTGCTAACTGCCCTTCCTCCAACCCGTCCTCCATCATTACAACAGTCGGCATCGTCATCCTTCTCTGCGTCATCATCAGTAAGATCCATTTCACAGCCGTGTCCATGCTATGCGGATCCCGTTTGCTGACCCGATTCTTGTCTTTGTCCACGCGCGCAGTCCCCATCGTTGTCAAGCACTAAAGCGACCCTGAAGCCTTACGACCTACTTCGAACGACCCCACGTTGCTATGTATGCCTCGCACCCCTGTACCATACCCCCAACCCTCCTAGGCCAGCGTCTGCAAGCAAGCCTAAGATCTTATGACTGCATATCCGCCCATGGTCTGTACTCCTGCTTGGAGGCAGGCAAGTGTGATTTGCTGCGACTTGCCGACCGATGGATGCCCGACGAACCCTTGATTCGGAGAACTCGTACTATGAACATTGCCATTGACTTGCACACAGCCTTGTGGGTCTTGCGGCAAGGACTGCTGCTTTGGTGGGCCGAGGCGGCGCGCATGTCCGAATCCCGAGTTTGGTGCACTTTCATTTCACGTTGGCGCATCCGCTGAGCTGCAGCGGATTACGCGATCTGGAAGCTCTCGAAGCCGAAAATCCGACCCACCGTTTCCGATCCAGGCGGCGCATCGTTCCAAGCAGCTCCCAATCAACACCTGACATCCCGCCACGACGTATCGACCCTCGCTCGACCTTCGCCCAACACCATTCCCCGCTTCATCCGTGGCAGCATGCTTTCGAGCGCATCAAGGACAGGTATGCTCGCATCCGCCGGCCGTGCGGGTCTCGTCGACGCCTCCACCTCCTTCAAGCTCGCACGACCCGCCTCTCTGCGCCGAAGCCTGGCTAGCCATGCGACCAACGCAGCAAAGCCTCCCACGGGCATCCTGCTCATGAACATGGGTGGTCCCTCCACCTCCACCACCGAGGAGGTCGGCGACTTTCTCTCGCGCCTCTTTCACGACCGCGAGCTCATCCAGCTCCCCTTCCAATCGCGCCTCGCCCCACTCATCGCACGCAGGAGGACGCCCAAGATCGTCGACCAGTACAACAAGATCGGCGGAGGCTCGCCCATCCTGCGCTGGACCAGGACGCAGGGAAAGGCCATGACAGAGCTGCTCGACGAACTCCACCCAGAGACCGCGCCTCATAAGGTCTATGTCGCCTTCCGCTACGCACGCCCGCTCACCGAAGAGGCGCTCGACGAGATGGCAGAGGATGGCGTCACCCGCGCCGTCGGCTTCACACAGTACCCGCAGTACAGCTGCAGCACCACCGGCAGCAACCTCAACGAGCTCTACCGCGAGATCCAGAGGCGCAAAGAGCGCGGTGCTCCCGAAGGCGACATCTCGTGGTCGCTCATCGACCGATGGCCCACACACCCTCTGCTCGTCGAGGCATTCACCAACCGCATCCAGGCCGTGCTCGACACGTATCCAGAGGACAAGCGCCACAAGGTGCCCATCATGTTCAGCGCGCATTCGCTGCCCATGCAGATCGTTTCGGGCCGCGGTGACCCCTATCCGGCCGAGGTGGCGGCGACCGTGGCTGCCGTCATGACGCGGCTCAAGTGGAGCAACCCTTACCGAGTCACATGGCAGTCGCAGGTGGGTCCCGCCGCTTGGCTCGGCCCGCAGACCAGCGACACCATCAAGGGCTGGGCCAAGCAGGGCCACAAGGACGCCATCGTCGTGCCCATCGCCTTCACCAGCGACCACATCGAGACGCTCTACGAGATCGACATTGAGCTGCAGGAGGAAGCCGAGGAGCACGGTATCACGCTCAAGCGCGCAGAGTCGCTCAACGACGAACCCACCTTCATCCGCGCCATGGCCGAGATCTGCGCATCGCACCTCTCCAACCTCGAGGGCACGCCCAACAGGAACAACGACAGGCGCGGCGAAAACGTCTGGACCCAGGGCTACACCAGCAAGCAGATGCTGCTCAGGTGTCCCGGCTGCGTCAACGCCGTCTGCGGCGAACAAAAGGCTTTCTTCGGTCGCACCCCCCAGCCCTAGTCGTGCGTCCCACTGGTCCAAATGATCCGGTCGGCCTGCAAAGCCAATCACAACAATGCAAAGTTCACATCCAGATCATGATCGACGTGGCGGCCCTACCCTGCGTCCATTACTATGCGCCCGATTTCGCGACTACACTGTGTCGTCGTCGTAGACGAATCGGCTATCCTTGGGCGAGAGCGGTGCACGCTTGACGTATGCGTCGTTGTCTGGCGGAGTCTGGAGTTGTTTGCAGCTTGCGAGCATGCTTTGCAGCGTGAGCAGCACCGAGCTGACGTTGAGTACCGGCGACCATTCGCTGCCCAAGATCGAGGCGCAGATATGGCCGTTGCTGTACACGTGTGGATGCTGTTTCGGACAAGATGAGAGAATCAGCACATGTGATCGCTCTGATCGTTACAATATGAGCTACTCACCACGGGCGCCTTGTATCCGTCTGTGACCATGAACACCACCTCGGGGCTTTCCATGGGGTACGTATCTGAGAAGCGGAATCGGAGCGCAAACCTGTCGCCCTGATACAGGCTGTTGCCAAGCACCTCTATCGAGAACTGCCACTCCTGAAAGTCGTCCGCCTTGATGATCGAAAAGCCCTCGGGAAGGCCCTTGAGCCTGAGATCGGACCTTTTGCGAGTTCGAACCAAAAGGTGTCAGCCGCTCTTCTCACTTTGTCATGGGGATCGGAGCTTGCAACCTACAGCTCTTTGGACAGTCGCTTCGTGGCGATCCTCATGTCGAATGTGATTCCAAATGACGCAGAGAGGTAGGCCTTTCCTTTCCTCTCGAATGCTTTTGGGGACAGAGGCAAGTGGTAGTGGTGAGGCAAGTCGGGGGATGCCCTAAATGAGGTCGTTGATCGTGTGGGGATGGCTCATGCGGGGCCGGCGCTGCAGCGCAACAGTCACTCCAATCTGAAAGCTGAGTCGCAAATGTTGCTGCGTGGAGGCGAGCAGCAGCTGCAGCTGCCGACTTCATGAAAATCGGGCGAATCGGACGTCGGATTCGCTCCGATTCCGCAGCTTTCGCGTTGTCGGGCTCGAGAGCTCCACTTTGCAACCAGGCGAGGGCGACAAAGTCACAGAGTGTTGAACTTTTGAGCCACAGAGTGTCCGCGTATGACCACCCGGGCCGCACTCTCATCTTCCATCCCCTCTCGACGCTCACATCACCTCCAACGCATCCACCATCGCTCACACATCCTTCAGCGCATCTTCTCTGCAGCAGGCTTGGGTGTCATCCACAGCGAGCGATCCAGCCTCACGGCTCGTATCAGCATCGAGCCTAGCGCCGCCAAACTTGCCCGGTCACGAGACGATCGTCACAAGCCTGGAGCACGCCTCACGTGCACTTGCCAAGCGCCATGCCGGAGCCATCCGAGAACCACTTGGGGCTTCCCGACATAGCCGCCTACCGCGATGGCCAGCTTCGACTCGACGACCACCTGCAGCAATTGCGATTGCCGTCGAATTTCGGCAACATCGCCGTCTCGTTGAATAGATTCCTCGACGACGAGGACCGCCTGGCATCAGATCCCGGCGCAAGCTCGCGCAGGAAACCCGACTCCTCCACCACAGAGTCGCAAAAGAAGAAGAGGGAGGAGGACGAAGCAAAGCTCGCCAAGATCTATGAATCCTTCGAGTTCGACACGCTGTGGTCCAAGCTCAGCAGCGTGCTTTCCCGGATGAAGAACGATCCCGGTGCCGCCCAGATCCTGCTGCCTCTCATCGAGAGCATGATGGTCGTCTCCCAGCACGTCGCCAATCCGGACCCAGATAGCCCCGGCGCATCCACCGAGCCAAGGCCGCCCCGCAGCCGCTCCTCGACCGAAGGCGGCTCAAAGTCGCCCCGAGATGCGATGGAGGATCACTTCTTCGCATTCACCGAGAAGCACCGCAAGATCCTCAACATCATGGTGCGACAGAATCCATCGCTCATGTCCGGTTCCTTTGCGCTGCTCGTGCGCAATCCAAAGGTGCTCGACTTTGACAACAAGAAAAACTACTTTACACAGCAGCTCCACAAGGGACGACGCGATCACTATACACCTCTCTCGCTCTCCGTACGCAGAAACTCCGTCTTCGAGGATAGCTTCCGCTACTTCTCGCGCAAGAACGGCCCCGAAGTCAAGCACGGTAAGCTCAACGTGCGCTTCAACAACGAAGAAGGCATCGACGCAGGCGGCGTCACCAGAGAGTGGTTCCAGGTCCTGGCACGAGCCATGTTCAACCCGGACTATGCGCTCTTCCAACCGTGCGCAGCCGACCGCACCACGTACCAACCCAATCGCATGTCCTACGTCAATCCCGACCATCTCTCCTTCTTCAAGTTTGTCGGCCGCATCATCGGCAAGGCCATCTACGACGGCAGGTTGCTCGACGCCTACTTCACCCGCAGCTTCTACAAGCACATCCTCGCCAAGCCCGTCGACTACCGCGACCTCGAGTCCATCGATCCAGAGTACTTCAAGAGTCTCGAGTGGATGCTCAACAACGACATCACCGACATTCTCGACCTCACCTTCAGCGTCGACGATGAAGAGTTTGGCGAGACCAAGATCATCGAACTCAAGCTCAACGGAGCCAACATCACGGTCACAGAGTCAAATAAGCAGGAATACGTCCGTCTCGTCACCGAGCAGAGGCTCACAAAGTCGATCCAATCGCAGATCGACGCCTTCCTCACCGGCTTCAACGAGATCATCCCCGCCGACCTCATCCGCATCTTTTCCGAACAGGAGCTCGAGCTGCTCATCTCCGGCCTGCCCGACATCGACGTCGACGCCTGGAAGAACAACACCGAGCTGCACGGATACGGCTCCGGCGACGCCGTCATCCAGTGGTGGTGGCGCGCCGTACGCTCCTTCGATCAGACCGAAAAGGCCAAACTTTTGCAATTCATCACCGGTACCAGCAAGGTCCCTCTCGAAGGCTTTGCACATTTGCAGGGTGTCCAGGGCACGCAGCGCTTCAACATTCACAAGGCATACGGCGCCGATAGACTGCCAGCGGCGCATACGTGCTTCAACCAGCTCGACCTGCCACAGTATGACTCGTACGAAAAGCTTCGCTCGTCCCTCTTGACCGCAATGAACGAGGGTGGCGAGGGCTTTGGCTTCGCCTAGGCTGGAGGCCGAGAGCGTCGTATTCGGGCAATCATTCTGCGGATGCTTTGCCATCGCAGAAGTCGATGAGCGATTTCATGATCGCAACGGCGCCCGACCGGTAGCCGCCCTGGAACATGAGCGTATCTGTGACGAAACAAGCAGAAGCAGCAGCAGCAATTGCATCCAGTCAGGGCGTGACCAAATCTTCAAAACAGTGTGACCATGAGTGTTGAACGTGCAATCGTCACCCAGCCAGCGATGCAAGACTCACGATTCAGGCTGAAGAGACACAAGCGCCAAGATTAAGAGGAGGCAGATGGTCAGTCCCGAGTCTAACCATGGACGGTAAGGCAAGATTCAGCGAGCGGGTTGGGAATGCAAAATGGACTCACTGATGGTAGAGCTCGTAGAGCCGAATCCGTTGATCGTAGTACGGCTCTGTCTTGGGCATGACCTCGTGGTAAGCGGCGAAAAAGTCCTGTGTGAAGCCTCCAAACATGTGCATGATTCCGAGCCTTGCAGTTCCGATTGTCAGCTCTTGGAAGCATCGTACCGTGGACTGACTTGAAGAAACTCACTCGGCTTCGTTGTGACCATAGTAGCTAGAGCTATGGAGAGTGTGTCAGCTCGACTCAATAGGTCCGAATGTCAACTGCAACAGAAGCTCACGGGCTGTTCGGGCAATCGGGTTGGGATGCGGATGAGGCTGCGGGTCAGTACAAGTGCCAGACGGGCGCCAGAAAGCCCCTCGAACTCACTCAAAGATGGCCGGTTGGCCGGATGAGATGACGGTTCCTGCGTTACCAGACCTGGCGGAATACCAAGCAGACAAATGAGCAGGCTGCCTCCCCTTCTAGCGACAAGCAGCGTCATGTTGCTCGAACCCATCTCGCAATACGCACCAAAGATCTCCGTGCAGTATACAAGGCTTGACTATTCCCTCGAGTGGCGCAAGCAGCACAGGATAGACTCTGTGTAGCGGAAGGGATCTAGGCTCAGCAGTGCCGCACGCACGGAAGCAGTCTGCTCTCCACTCACCTGTCCCGCATCTGCTGTTCCAGCTTCCTGAGCTCGGGGTCCGGGTGTGACGCGTGAATCCGGTTGACGAGATCTCCGATACGACGTTCGGCCCAGAACTTGGGCCAAGAGACTTCCCAGGTGTTGTCCTGGCGCTGCGGTGGTGGACCAAGGATCAGGATAGTCAGCATGCTTGCAGCTCCTGCTTAACTCAGGACTCCGTCGATACCCACAGTGACCCCGCAATAAGTGGCGGCGTGGAACCCAAACCGTCCGTCCTCGCCAATGCTATGTTTGTGCATTTCTGCCAGCCTTCGTCCCAACACCTTCTGTGCGTCTCTGCCGAGAGAAGGTTTGAGATCCAGGTAGTCAGTCACCAAGTAGGCTCGGTTGCCGTCTTGCGTCTTGCCGAAGGCGTGCACTTGCGGAGACATTGTTGCTGCTGACTCATCACTGCTTTCCAGCTGAGCTCTATGCATAGCTACGAGGCTGTGAGCTTCGCCCACCGTCTGCTCCACATGATCGTCGAGCTTGGCGAAAAGCGATCTCCCGCTCGGCCTGGCGATGAACCGAGACGCGCCAGAATGCTCGAACGACTTGCCGATGTGAGAGCACTCCCGCCTCAGAATCGAGTCGAGCGCGGCACCCGAAGACATGTCGACCTCTTGATGCCACCTAGGAATTAAGCTCTGTTCAGATGCGCTGGTGGAAGTGGTATGAGTTGAACAAAGTGGCTCGACTGCGTGACCTCGGGAGTTTGGTCACCGCGACCAAAAAGATGTGGAGGCATGACAGGGTCTGGCTGCATGGCTTGTGCATGCTTTGACCACGACGCTGAGTCTCATCTCGGTCCACGCTTCGCCTTGATTTGAGCACACCGAGCGAGACTTGCGTGATGCCTGCTTGCAGTTCACGCACAAAGCGTGAAACACATTCTCTATCATTGGCACCGACAGACACAGGCAGGCAAGGCCACCTTTCGTGCTTCGACGCCCGCCGACCCGAATCATATCGAAAAGGGGAAGTTGGACGCGTTCACATGCTCACGTCCATTTTGTTTTTTCTTTGTGATTGTCATGAGTGGTTCCACTCTGCGCCATTCAATGACTCCTGACCTATCCGTGCAGCGTGCAACTTAAAGGTGAGCCGGCTCGATGCCGATCCTCTGCCTGAGCCTCTCCTGAGCCTCTCTGGCTCGATTCGAAGTCACGAAAGTGCTGTGGTGGTTGGAGCCATGGTTAAATGTGACCACTTGAGTCTCATATGTGTGTATGGGCGTGGTCGGCTTGGTTCATCCGTCATGCACAGCGCGCAGGCGTCAAGGGGCGACTGAAATTTCGAGAATTCTATTGATGTGCTGTCATAAAAGTCATAGTCATTCTGACGCCGAAGACCAACACTAATGGCCCGGAAATAATGCGGAAGACAAAATCATTCAAAATAACAAGAGCACGAAAGTGTTTCCTTCGCCCGCGTTCTTGTTTTTCCACCTCGCTCGTTTGAATAATTGCGTTGCATTTACGACTTCTAAGTTAACAGCCCATGCCTTTCAATTTTTGATCGAGTAAAGCTGTGAGCGATATCTTTTCGCGCTTTTTCCCGTAATCATACGTTTGTACCTTGTTTCGGTGCGATTTTTCCTCGAGGCGAATCAAAGGTCATGCAAAAGCGAAAACCATGGACTCCTGATTCATGATTCACTTGATGATCCAGACCTGAAAGTCATGACTTGCAGGCTCATGACCTTTTCAGACACGATGTTGACCTGACAACTGGAAGACACATAGGTCCAATTGTGGTCGGAGCCAGGGAGATTTGGGTCTGTCTTGAAAACAGGCGTATTTAATTAAGTGTGTATTAACGCGAGTGGCCCGTTACAGGAACAGGCCCATTAGTGAAACAAAATAACGAAGATAGTATGATCGCCCGGAGGCTTGTTTTGAAGCTTCTGGTAATATTCACATCCAAAAATGGGGTGGGTGGCGACGAGCAGCCACCCATCAGCCACCCCGGGTGGCTGTTTGGGATCAGCCACCCCACAGCCACCCACACACACATGGGTGGCTGCTGGGTGGCTGCTCCTCGCCAGCTCGCGTTTTTTTAGGATATGATTGGGAGCTCGAACGGAGAGATTCACACCGTCGTCGAGTTCGCGTTCCCAACTCAAGCCTCGAGCAAGTCGACGGAATCGATGCGCCGTACACGAAAGAAAATTGCGATCGCGATTTGTGATTGATGACTTGCCAAAACATATCTCTATGTAAGTTATGACGAAGGACACTAATCGCGAAGGTACAGCTCGGTCTCAAACCTGCGTGACTTCAATGATCATGAATCATGAACTTTGAAGTCGGGCATCCGAACCCCTTCTGTGCGGTCATGACCAACGTTCTTCGTCCTTTTTGGGTTTGCCCCGTTGCAGCCATGGGGCAAGAACAAAAGTAGCGGGGCCGAGTCAATGCGATTACGTAACCAGTTTGACCTAACTTTAGTTGGGAGGCTGAAATTTATGATTCCTAATTGCGCCAATTCCGGCCGCTCAGAAGACCCGGCCTTTTAGCTTCCTTTTCAAGCAAGCAATAACAATCATGATTTCGATTTTGCAAAGACATGACTCGCATTTCCGTTTCTTGTACTTAGACCCACAGGGATTTTGACACCAACCTACTTAATCGAGATTGCCTTGCCATCTGACTGGCGATGAGGGATTTGTGAGAATTTCCGGCAAGGGTGCTCGTGTAAAGTCAAGTTCAAGCATCCAATATATGAATCATCCAAACAAGGTAACTAAGTTATGCCTCGAAAGCGTGGGCCGGCTTGTCGTGTCTCGAGTCGAACGCATAATTCGAGGATTCCAGATTCCTGCTTTGGTGTGGTTGCTCACTTACTTATTTAAGTTATCCGCATGTCTACGTTTCCTCCCCACGCACCTCCCTCCTGCGAAATCGTGCAAGATGTAATTGCCAGGCTTGAAGCGGCGCGTCAAAGCCTGGATCACAAGAAATCAATGTCCGAATCATGATTTGCTGATCCAAAAAAAATGTAAATGAATCATCATAGACAATGCTGCCCAACTGATTTCGATGAATGAAGACGACCTGCAATTTGTGATCATTCTTGATGTTAATTGTCTGTATCCCCAGATCGAAACCAATAGCCAGGTGAATTGTCGACCGGGCTGGCTTCTAAGCACACAATTTTGATGAGAATCGCCGCTTGTCTGATGCGGCTTCAGTGACTTACGCGTCGATGTGTCAAGAATCAAGCGAACGAAGCAAAAATCACGAGCTTCTCACACCTGAATATGCGCATCTCAGCCACTCATATCCTAACAAATGGGGTGGGTGGCGACGAGCAGCCACCCATCAGCCACCCCGGGTGGCTGTTTGGGATCAGCCACCCCACAGCCACCCACACACACATGGGTGGCTGCTGGGTGGCTGCTCCTCGCCAGCTCGCGTTTTTTAGGATATGACTGTTGTAAGACTCATACTTGGCCGCAGTGCCAACCAGGTATGCCAACCAGTATGCTTTGCCGGTAGCTACATCGACACGTCCGCCTAGCTGGCTACTTGCTTGCACCATGACGTATTATGCCTTTTTCGATGCGTAGCGCTATCCATCCACTACGCAGCCCGGGTGCTTGGGCACGGCGAGGAATCCACCTACACATTCATGATCTCCGTGACCACCGCTAGGACACCTGATCATAGTCGCGACTTGCACTGTTATGAGTCGATGCACGGCGAACCACAGTGACCCGGCTGAGCAAGATTTACTGTTCATCATACGGATGCGTGCAGCGAGAGGAGCTTCGATGCGCCAAGCAGCATCCATCTCAGCAAAGCTCTCACGCCTACTGACGCTTCTAGTAGACTCGATTTGCGCCAAGGACCTCGACACGGACATGACACGGAACCAAGGGGAATCCATAGCCAAACATCGCATGGCATTTCAAACGCATCCAAGAGCAGCACGAAGGACATTGGCAGCGAAGCGCCGGGAGCTACGGTCGAGGACGGAGCATTGCGAGCGCGTAGGTGTCTAGACCAGATCATCCTGCACCTGACTGGGTCGGAAGGGCCAGCGGAAAGCCCTTTTGACGGGGGGGAGGTTGCGCGAGCTGTCTGGACTGGCGGAGCCCGCAAAGGATGGGGGGGCGCCTTGCTCTGCGCTGTTGCTTCGGTCGAGGGGCAGGAAGGAGCTGCTGGTGCTGAACTGGGGCAAGGAGTCGGCACTGGCGTTGGCGCCGCCTGAGGACCACTGCATGCGCTGTCGGCCGCCACTGCGGAGATCGGACTGCCAGACGTCAAAGGCAGACCAAGAGCGTCGTCCATCCTCCTCGGTGGCGAGGGTGGGTTGGAAGGCCTGCTTGATGGCCTCAAAGTTGGAGACGTTCTGCAAGGAAGGATTGGCGAGGCCCTGAGGCGCCGTGGCCAAGGGCTCGTGTCCGTCTGCCACGGCGGCGGCGTTTGCGCGGCGGAAGGCGTTGCGGAGGACGCTAGTGCCGAGGTCAGCGTATCCATCGATGCGCGCGCTCTGGAGCTTGTTGATCGAGATGGCGGACTCGGCGTCGAGGAGCGATGGGGGAAACTGGTTGGCGGCGAGCGAGCGCTCTTCCATGCGGGCAAGGGTGTCGACGAGTGGATCGGGAGTGGCGGCGAGTTGCGCATACATGGCGTCCTGCCTGTCGAGTTGACTCTGCTCCATTGCGGGCGACCAATAGGGTGCATGCATGTCGAGGGGTGCAGCGTCTCGCGAAAAGTCGTGTTCGTGGGCGTGGCGAGCGTTGAGCTTCTCGAGCTGGAGTAGGTTGTGCGCGTCGTCGAGCTCCTGCTGCAGATTTTGGATGTCTGCACGAAGCATGTCGGTGTTGGATTTTGCCTGGCTGATGAGCTGTGCAAGCTCGTCGGAACGTTGCTGGCGCTTTTCTGCGTTGGTGGCTTTCCTTGCGATGAGGTTGGCGCGACGTTTCTTGAGCGATTCGATCTGTTCCTTCCTTTGTTGGATGCTGGCCTGTTTGAGCGCACGGGCGGCGTTTGCAGCTTTGAGCCGTCTCTCTGCTTCGCGCCTGGCGCTTTCGACCTGCCTCTTGCTGTCGTCCAAGGCCTTTGTCCTTGTCTTGACGTCGGATCTCAGTCTTTCCTCTTCCTTTTTCTTGGAGCGGACTTGGTCGAGATCGTGCTCGAGTGCTTCACACGCGCGAGTGGAAGCGCTGCGTACCTGAGCGAGCTGGTCGTGGAGATCGGCGACCTCGGAGCGCGACCTAGCGACGAGGCCGGTGATGCTGAGGCAGTCTTCGTTGTCGAGCGTGTCGCGGTCGACGAGGTCTTTTTGAGCTGGATGAGATGGATGGACGACTGGAGCGGGCGGCTGGATGGGAGGAGTGGTGCGAGGCTGGTGATTGTTTGGCGGATCTTGGGCGGAAGGGATGTTGTTGGAGTGGGTGAGAGTGTGGTGCGAATCGGGTTCGGAGTCGATGGCGCGCATCTCTAGCACGCCCCAGTCTGCGAGATCGGTGATGTTCTCCTCGAGCTCTTCGCGGTCGGGTTTGTTGGTACGATGAGGCGAGCGCGACCTTGCGCCGGGGAGATCAGGGATGGCGAAGCCGAGGACCCACCATTTTCCGAAAGCTCCGATGAAGAGGGAGGTGCAG